CTTCACATCCAGCACCACTGCTTTGTGCGTATTTGCCATCCCAGCTGCCAACACAGCAACCAAGATTCATGTCCATCATGTGCCCTACAGCCACTTTCCTCTACTAACCTGGACTCTGTTCTCCACACTTCACTTCTGCAATGCCATGTCTCACTATTTCTTTGGAAGCTGACAGCTGGTCTAACAAGAGTTGGAGGCATTGGTAGCTAAGAGAAGAGAGCTAAACTAATCCTTTCAACTACCCTTTCACCCCCGCAGTTTTACAATCCAGTGTTTGCCAACAAGCCCTATTTGGTACAAAACATTGATTTTTATTTTTTTTAAATCATTTAAACTGTTTACTATTCAGAAACAGATTTAAAAGACTCTTACTTTTAGAAGAGTCCACTAACTAAAAGAATGGAAGAGTGTAACTGCTCTTCCCCCTTTCCTATCCACTCCCGAGCCATTCCAAACTCCCCTCCCACTGTCAGCGTAAAACATCCTATTCAAAGTCTGTGTTCTTCTTTGAATATGAAAACTCTTCCAACACACTCCATAGCATGTCAACTCTTTCCACAATCCCTCAGAAGTAAATGCTGCTTCTCCCCAAGTAATAAGGAAAATGCCCCTAGCTTACTAAATGCTGAGAGATTTTAGACCAGGCAGCCACCTGCAAAGACTATTTTTTTAGTATAAGGAGACATTAATGCCTCATTTTAAGCTGTTTTAATGCATAGCTGAGGCTACCTTGTAGTTGCAACCAGATAATTTCAGGGCAGTCTGTTTTATCTTGAAGGCTCTTCTCAGTGGTGCCAAACAACAAGACAAGAGGCAATGGGCAGAAATAGATGCACAGGAAGTTTCACCTGAACATGAGGAAGAACTTCTTTAGTGTGCTGTGACTGCACACCAGAACAGACTGCCCAGAGAGGGTGAGGAGTCTCCCTCGCTAGAGATATTCAGGAACCATCTGGACACAATCCTGTGCCACATGCTCTGGGATGGCCCTACTTGAGCTGGGAGGTTGGACCAGATGCCCCACTGTGGTCTCATCCAACCTGACCCATTCTCTGAAATACACAAAGCAAACAATAAATGAGGAAGCTTTACACATTAATGATTTATTTACAAGTAAAAGTATAACACTGCAACGAGTATTAATGAAGTACGCTTTAATTTTATTCCTGAATTTAAAAAAGAAAGGGCAGCCATCTAGATACTGATGGTCACAGTAGTCTCTTGTAAACCTAAAGAGAGCAGTTGGAAATCAATTAGGACACCTGTTTCCAAAGAAAGAAAGACCCAGCTGATGTTTTTCACCCCTCCAGTTCCACAATGGTTAGCAGTGAACTTTGCCATAAGTTTGCCTCAAAATATTTTGCATACTGGATCAAAACACTTTCAATATTTCCTATCATTAAATTGCTTTGAACAAAAAGATTTCCTAGATGTTCATTCTTAACATTAGGAAGTAGACTTTGAACCTAAACATGTTTAAGTGAAAACAATGGGGGGAGGGGGAATTAAATCCTGGCATGTTAATATTCAGGATGCCTTTGTTTTTCTTTAAATATAGAACAGAAACAAAGAAAGATGCTGAATTCTGAACTGAACCTACTCTAAACTTGCCTCCCTCACAGCAGAGCTGTTGCTGTTACACTGGTGATAAAATCTTCTCCTGTGAAATGCAATTATTAGTTTAAAACCCATTGAGCGAATGAGATCCCCCAATCCAAGAGGAATAGATTTCTTAACTACAGCTGTGACCAGCTGGCTGCTGAACAGAAAAAGGGTTGCTATTGCCATCTCTGTGATGAGGCTCCAGGGGCAATGCTGCGGTTGTTGGCACCCTTCCTGAGGTTCAAAATCACATCAAACCAAACCAAACCCATTGTGACTGGAGACCAGTTTGTTTTTATGGACTGACAGGGTGACTGTAGGCACAAACACATTGACTCAAAGTCTCAAAGACTGTAATTTAAAGTTATCTGTGATTACATGGATCTTCCATACACCCCACCAAATTATGTAACAAACCTATCAATACTTAGATTGCTCTTAACTACACTTTAAAATAATCAATGTAATCTACACAGCCTCCAAGCACATATGGAAAAAAATCAACCCATTAGAGACTAATCTATGCACAGTTCAAGATGTAATTTAACTACATCAGTTAAATTTAGAAGCTGATTTATTTAATCATTGCACAGGCAACCAAGATTTAAACCTCATCTTCAAGCAGACCCCTGTGCACAAGCTGCATAATTCAGAGGGAAGTTATTATGATGCCAATCACAGAAAAGTTCAGAGAAGAGGCCAATGATTTCATTTATTTGCAGAAGTGAAAATTTCCCAGTCTCAGACTGTGATAACAAAGACTATTTCTATATGTGATGAGCATGCTAAGACTCACAGTGCAGATACCAGTTTTAATACAGAAAGAGAAGAAATTTGCTAACAAACCCATTTTGCCAGGCTGCAATGTAATCCAACTCCATGCAGTCAAGTCCAAAATGTAAATAAGTGCATACTGAAAAGAGTTTAACCCCAGACAGGCAACAGCTAAACCCAAATATGCAGCCTCTCCTAACACCAAAATTGGACAGAAAACAAGAAAAAGCTCATCAAAAATGCATGTAGCTGAAGATTGAAATCTGTGATGTCTCTATCCTGTTTTAAGTTAGTCTCTCCCAAAACCAGTTCCACCTCCTTTTGGCATTACCATTTGTAATATAAGAATTCTGCAATACTTCTGCCTTTCTTATAGGTCTTTTTCCACCCCTGGGAGACCATTGGAGAAACACTGTCCTGTTACTCCCCCCATCCACTGCTATGCAATTAGTGATCTGCAGCTTTTCACTGGTCAAGTATTCCAAAAACCTTCCACCATTCTCCAGAGACTATTTCTCTCCTGCCCAAACTACTTTCCACACTCAGTCTGCCCCATTCTGACAAGCTTATTTCTTTCAGGGGACTATTCTTAATGGTTTGTTTTAAATCAAACACTTAATTTACTAAGTAATTCTATAATTTAGCAGCCATTAAGGTTAAAGGACGAGTGAAGAGTCAGATAGTACAGGCAAAAGTCTTGGCACATAAATTTGGTTTAACCCTGACTGAAAATATCTAAGTTGCTTTCTCAATAAAAGTATTTTTGAAGACTGAAGTATTATCCACACAGCAATCACAAACATAATTTTAACATCTTTTTTCAAAACGTGTAAGTGAATACACAGTATTTTTTTCTGCCAAGCTAAGTGTAAAGGTGCATTTCTTAGAATTGTTTGTATGTAATGACAAAAGAATTCTTCTGGTAGTCTACTAAATTGACAATCGGAGATAGTAAGCACCAGAGGCTGCTTTCAAGCCCTGCATGTCGTATTTTATTCCTTGCTCCGTGCTCTCTAACTTTCTTTGTGGAAGACACTTTTGTACCACTGCGTTGTACGTTTATAACAGACATTTAGAAAAGCCAGTGTACACTACTCACACAGTATGGCATTTTAAGCAATCAGCAAATTTATAAACATTTAATATATAGTTTTTATCAACCTGACAACTATTGGGGGCATTTATACAAGCAAAATACAGTAGGAAATCCAGAGAGAAGCGAGATAAGGCACAATGATAAACCAAATGACAAAATGAGTGACTTAATTCCAAATTCAAATACCTTACCCTGCATGCAGAACAGGTAAATTAAGCTGTTTAAATTTTTATTATGACTTGAAAGTGAAATTCTTTGAATAGAAATTTAATAATTTCTGTAAAAATCGACCATTATTTCAAGTACAAGTTTCTCATTTTATTGATCAGGTAGTTTCCAAATTTTATGTCCAGTCTGAATGTTTGTGATACATGAATGATCAATGCTCAAACAAAAAATTAGAATCTGTTTACTAGAGTTAGATTTTAATTTTTTTTTTTAATTTAAAGGTTGATATTTTTAAGTATGTTCAGCATTGTCTTTATACACCATCAGTTACATTAAACTCCAGACTAGTTAAACACTTGGCACTTCAATTAAACTCTACATGAAATTTGGACTTAAACTGCACAAAGAAACAGAAAAAACTTGATAAAACTACACTGAGAATGAACAGCAAATGTCTCAAAATAATTTTTGAAGTTTTATCAATAAATATAGCCTAGGTAAAATATTCCAAAACCAAGGTTCTTATTCCTGTAGTAATTAATTTCTCTAGCTCCCTGTGAATAAAAGCAATGATGTTCCCATGCAGCAAGAAAGGCAACTGAACTGTAATAGTGCTGTAACATTCACTAGTTTGTTAATTAATAAGCAATACGCTGATCTGCTAATCTAGTGAAGCATATTTTCAATCCTGGATATGTCCACTTGGTTTACCTTTTTTTCTTTGCAGACTACTTTTCCTGACACATTTCCTCCACTTTTGACATTTACGGCAAGAGATCTTTTTTCCAAATTATTTCAGTACATAACCATTGATTTACCTTTCCACTGAATGGGTAATGCAAGAGAGGTAAAGGGGGAAAGAGTGGGTTTTCTTTCACCCCTCTCCTTCAAAAGTTGCTACCATAACCCTCCCACTCCTGTGTGCACCATATTGCTTCCTTATTCCTTCATTCCTTTAAACAGTTTCCTACTTGAAATTGTGAATGCATACATTTTCCAGAATTCTTCCTTTTCTTAACTTAAAATGCAATCTCTTTCAGAACATATATGCTGAAAAGCATCTTGAGTATCATCAAGAATCTCCTCAAAACTTAAAACTGAAATAAGCATAAGTGAATTTCAGCTGAGAGGAAAAGTGTGCCAAAGGATCACAGCCAGGGTTATAGACAGTCAGCTCCAGAACACAAGAGAACAGTATCCTAAACAACAATCTCCTAAAGCACTGCTGCATACTTTACTGTTGGCTCAGAGACCTTGAAGCAAGGCTGGCCACGGTTTCTGGCAAAGGCAGCACTGTGGTGTGCAATGCAGGAAGAAAACAGTATCTTCTACAGGTAGCTAATACTACTTTTAACCTCACCCTCTCTGAAGGAAGAGCAACAAATCTGCTCTTCAGCTTCTTCCCAGGCTCAAAAGCTTTCGCTCTCCCAGACACCAACAAGCTGCAGCTCCCTGCAAATACACACATGCACACACTTAGCAGCTTTACTTACTGTAACAAAATTGTCTGCACTTTGCCAGCAGTCCTTCATTAGCACCCCAGATGTGTCCCACCTCTTATGTCACAAGGTGAGGAAAGTGCTACTCTTCCAGCAGAGCAACAGATAATCCTTATCTAAAAGTCCCTGGTGTTCAGTGGGGGCAGCTGAGACAGATTGGGGGTAGGGAAATACTTCCCCACACAGCTAGTTTAATAACAATAAGTACAAATCTTTTATTATCCAATGCACTTTGATGCCAACAAACATTCAACTTCAGCAGATTTAGATTAAATCTCTTAGACAATACACCAACAAAGTACAGATTATACAGGGTAAAAGTAATTAACAGATGCAAATTTATAAATCCAGTATCTCATGAACAACTATGAATAAAGTAAATTTATTCTAGTTTCTACACAATAAGATTAGTATTCAAATGCTACCAGCCTCCTGGGTGAGCAACACTTTTGACGTTTGTTTCAGGGCCTAGTCAACATTACAAAATATAAACCACCTACGTATCAAAGATATAAACTTCCTTCCAAAGGCTAACTCAAAACCTCCTGGACAAGTTTCTAAAACTCATCACTGGTCTTCAGTTGAGGGACTTATCACAGTCAAAGCTATTTGTAATACATTCACACAAATGCAAAGTTGACAAGGAACATTCAGCAAGAGCTCTCTTGAACAACTTACCATTTAAAAAGGAGCGTGGAATATCAATACTATTTACTTGTTTGAGAAGACAGCTGTTCTCTAACTTCCTGGCATACTCAGGTGGCTTCTTCTGCAAACAAAGACAAATCTTAGTCTTTCAGTATCAGAGTAATTAAAAATATGCATTAAAAGTGGGGTTCAGTTCAGTGATCAGCTAAAAAAAAACTTAGTAAAATATGCATGAGTAGATTCCAGACAGTTTTAACCATTTTGTACTAAATATTTCATGATACAGCTTAATTTTTTTTCAATGTAACAAAATAGCTTGTATTATTTTATAATCAATTTTTAAACAGAAATAGCAGAGAAAATAACATTTACCCACTTGAAGACTGTGGGGATGGAAAAGTGACATAACAACCTACAGTAATGCACAATAAAGCAGCAGTCTTAAATCCCTCTGAGATTCTTCACAGCAAATAAAATATTACTGAACAGTAACCCATTAAAACAGACTAAAAAAAAAGCTATGGGAATCTTTTGCAAAAATTATGTAGTGAGATGTTTCCATGAAAATATTACAGTTCCTAGCATCAAGAGAACATTGTGACTTATAGATCAGCATTTAGTCATATACTGACTTTTTATAAATTAAGGTTTTTTGTAGTTAAGATATTAATGTCCTTTCTGCAATAAATATATAAAAATTCTCTAACACAGATCACTTGCTTAGAGGAGGCTGATACTATTACCAGAATTTTAAAGAGGTGCTACTATGCATTTTTTTTGCCTAATATTTCACACAATTAAAGTTTACAAGAGGAAAAAACTTCTCTATCTCAAGAAGGCAATTATAAACCATGATGTATAAGAAAGACAAAGCATCTAGAAGAGCAAGACACTTGAAGTCACCACACAGATGTCTCAAAGGCAAGACAGCAGTGTCCTGCTTGCTCTCTGTCACCACCTGCCTTACTCACATTGCTTCATCCTCCCTCAGAATACCAGAGCTTTGAGGTGCCTAGACCTTGATTCCACTAAGCACTGGTGCAGTAACCACCTATTCCAAATAAAATATTGTCCTCTAGTTAACCTGCTCAGCAATCTACCAGTTTGCCAAGGTCTTGGTCCTCGCTTAAGTGTTTATGTGCTTAGAGAAAAATTAAAAAGACACCTTATAAAGGCTCACATACATACAACTCATTCATGTTCCCATTACCAGGACAGATGTACTATATGGGGAAAGCTATTTGCCTAAGGCAACATAAGATGGACATGGACCTGCTGAAGGGATTCCAGGAAGGCCACAATGACTATTAGAGGGGCTAGACCACCATGTCCTATGAAGACAAAATCCTGGACAAGAGAAGGCTCCAGGAAGATCTTACAGCAACTTCCAGTACCAAGAGGAGACCAACAAGAGCACTAGAGATGGACTTTTCACAAGGACATGTAATGAAAAGACAAGAGGGAATGGCTTTAAACTGAAAGAGGATATATTTAGGTTATATAGTGGAAAGAAATTCTTCACTGTGAGAGTGGCAAGACACTAGAATGTGCTGCCCAGAGAAGTTTTGGAAGTGCTCAAGGCCAGCTTGGATGGGGCTTTGAGCAACCTGGCTTAGGGGGAAGTGCTCTGCCCATGGCAATGGCATTGGAACTAGATGCTCTTTACGATTCTTTCCAACCCAGGTCTTTCTGTGATTCTGTGACTTCAACCAGCAGTCATTTAAGTATGCCTGTGGCTCAAGAAACAATAAATCTACTTTGCAGCAAACAGCACTACATTAAAAACACTACAGAACAGACATCGTAGAGCACTTCTAGTACAAGGCAACTTGAACTTCTTATAGATTTTAAACCCTCTAATACTATCACGGTGTCTGAGAATATATTTACACATTATGCTATCCTCAGCAGCAAAGGCACTTTAGGAAGTTCTCAGTTCCCCACAGGAGTGACAAGCTTTTGTCCACATGCTGCAGTTTGTTTCCATCATTTACATTTACAGGTTGTCTGCAGTGTTGCACTACATAAATAGGATCCCTGAATCCATTTTCTGATGAACTCCTCACTCAGATCAATACAGAACCTATACAGGGATGGAAAGAAAGCTGAGAACTTCCACCTCTGAAAATAAAACTCAGTTTTCACAGTGAAAATCAAATCGACTATCTGGACATGTATTTCAGTCTAAATCCTTATCTGGCTAAATAAAAACATCAAGATGTGGTCAATGTCAAGAAGTTTTATCTTTTTTTTGTTTGTTTGTTTTGCAATCAGTTTTTTGATTTTTTTTTTTTTTTAAGTAGAACATTGAAAAAGGCCCGGGATAAGCCAGAGACAAAATGTTGGATTCTCTATGTGTTCCACATTTAAGACACGTAGCTATGATAAAAACATCAGATACAGGAAGGAAAATATGTTTTGGTACATCACTAACAGTCCAGCAATACCTATCTACTACCCAACTGTGAAAACACACACAGTCCGTTTTGAATGGATTCTTTCTTTCCCATGAAATCTCTAAGAGGGAAAAAAAAAAAAACAAACAAAACAAAAACAACAAAAGCCATTATAAAAGGATTCTTACTCATTATCAAGAACAACGCTGACTCCTCTGCCAAGTGCCTCATTTGACGCATTCACGGACTAAATTACAGGAAGTACTAAACAGTTTCAACAGGATAAGAATTTAGACAACCAGAATGTGTAACACAATGTATAAGAAATTTATATCCAGCTGAATTTTGTTTAAAATCAATGGTTTAAAGCTCTTTAAACAAAACTCCTAGAAATGAGGATATTATAGACAAGCAATTTGAAGAACAAGCTATATGGCACACAGAGGATTACCTCAGAAATCCACAGAAAAAAAACAAAGGATTTAATGCAAGACATAACTTTTACATAGATTGAGGATTAAAAGTACCCAAATGGCAGGTCATCATGAAAATGGTGAAAAAAGGATTTTATTTTGAAGTCTGCTTTCTGGGGTCAGGGAGAAGGTTTTTAATACACGTTTTCATATATGGAGACCCAAAGCTTACCACTATAGTTTCAATTCAAGTGCATATACACAAAAAAGGAAGTGGTTTAAAACTTCAGTACTGGTTTGCCTTGTTAAATTTGTGTATGTATTCTATCTTAAAAGCATGAAATTCAATCTTGGAAGCTACTGTAACTCTGCAACACACATTTGGAAAATCCAGACAGGTTCTGAAATCTTCAAAGAGTAGAACCATACATCAATTCGTGGTTAGGTCCCCCCTGATCTTAAGTACTTCCACAGCAGGACAGAAGCTTTTTCTGTAAAAGAGCCATACAATCAACTACTCTAAACTGAGGGGCCTCTAAGTAGCAACTTTCATAAGATTGATCAAGACAACTCAAAAGTTTCTTATCTTTAAACTAGACTATCTTTAAATCTCTAAACTAGATTGTTCCATATGCCAGTCTTAAATTTGAGTACAGAACAGGAGCAGCATAAAGACATGCCAACTCATGTTTTCCAGGTGGTCTTTAATTAAAGATTCACTTGTTGTCCAATCCATGAGCCACTGCAGCATCCAGAAAATTACTTGGGATAAATACTGTCCTTGGAGTGCAGAGAGCAATCTGCCCTTTGACAAGCCCTCAAGGGATAATTTCCTACTCTGCATCTTCTTGAGAACCACTCCGACAGTCAGACTTAAGTCACCATACCCAGTGTGTCCTTTGCCACCAATTCCTTCCAAAGAACAAACAAGTTCAAGTTCTTGAAATTTTTCTTCAGTACACAGGCAGATAAAGTAAAAAAAAAAAAAAAATCCAACCTGTGTGGAGTACCTGGTGTCTCTTTTATTCCATTTCACTTGCTGGATTATGGTACAAATACTCACTGCTTGAGTATAGCAGTCCTTCAGTACTGGACAGAGGAAACCGACCTAAACAGCAGGTTTGCAAAATCCTGAACATCCTGTGGAATTTATCTGAGGTTAAACATTTGATCTTCATAGATTTTGCAAGCCCAAAAAGCCTAAAGCCAGCCAGTAACAGGAGTTTTTTCTGGTAAGAAGCATGACGAGCCCTACATCTATCACCTCTTTGGTGTCTCCACAAGAGGCTTGCCCAGCACTACGCTCTCTTCTTATGGTCAGCACTGACTCTTTACTGCAAATGAAGTCAAACAAAGATTATACCAAAAATTACTAGTACCAACCACAAGAGACAGGAAGTAGCTCTCTTGTCTTTCATCAAAAAAGAGAGGGTTCTTCCACCACCAGGAAAGACAAAAGGCCAATATCTCCGAAAAGGAACAGATTTCAGATGGGATATCAATATCAAAATGTTTTCAAACACTTGAAAAGGTTTGCTGGCAGCATTCACCATCCTTAAATTCTTCACAGATAACAACCTAATATCACAGTACAAGTCTTCTGTACTATCAGCCTGCTCCTTCTCCCAACACAGCCCTGCACTCTTCTCCAGAAGGTCAGAGTACACATCTTTGCAGAACAGCAAAGAGCTCCCTTCTAGCTCCACTCCTAGCCTCTAGAGACATCTCCCTAGCGCTTCACAAAAGGAATGCTGATGACTTTACTCAAGTGGATCCCCACTCTCATATAACACTAAAAATGGGTCATCCTCTGCAGACAGCATCTCTAATTTCAGTTGTTACCTACCCAGCACTACACAGCACAGCTTTTAATTAGTAATATTTAAGAATATTTTTCTTGAAATAGAAATGTCCCTTAAATTGTACTTTCTGGAGCAATCAACCTCACTTCTTGTTGCTAGCAGGCACTGCTAAAAAGCATGAGCATCTAGACAAATGCTTTGTATAAGTACTCCAGACAGAAAACCTGTGGGGTTATTAAGGGGATTAGTTCAAGGCTAGGTAACGTGATTTTCAAGTTAAATGCTCCATTAAAGTACCTGAATTTGGTGACAAAATCAATCCAAGAAATATTGTCAGGTCATTAACAGACAACATTCAAATCAAGTATCAGATTTCATCTTGTGCTGAACAAAACTTAATATTTCCTTTACTCATATGTCTCCAGAAGTAATAAAGGGTAAATGCAGGTTGTACTCTACAGTTTCATAATGTTAGAGAGAAGTGGCAGAGTAAGGGAAGCATGAATCAGC